CCCGCACTTTTTTTGATAATCAAAGAATTTAGGAGTAGAAAAGCCCTGCTGGTTATCACATCCTTTCCTCTGCAAGAGTGGATTCCCTTTTTTCTATATAGCTCTTTATCAGCTAATGAAAATTCTTGAAAGCATCTTGATTTCATCTTCAGTTTACTTATTGAAAAAGAAATAAGCTTAATCTTACTTTGATAAGTTTCTTCTTTCAGTAATCTAAGTGTTCCATTAATGTAAAACTCCATTTTACGATGATAGGTTTTGTAGACTTTGTAATTCTAATCAAAAGCATGAGCTATGGTGATGTTCATTACATTGACAGTCGTAGGGAATTAGATAGTAACATTTTATTAAAAGATGTGAGAAAATTCATAATTGCATTTCTTAACACAGAAAGAAATCAAGTAATTGCCATTGTGCCACCAGACTGGATGTCAGCATCAGACACAGGGACGTGGAATAATGCATCTTACTTTTGGAAGGAAGAAGGAATCTTTCAGATCTTAGTTAAGGTGGTAGTCATCCCATATGCAGGTAGTCCCGTTTCATATGTCCTCAGTCAACACATCACTCATTTGCAAGTTTGGCTTATTGTAACTTGTGTTAGATTTGGTAAGAAGGATTTTATTGTTACCAGTAGGGAGACCAATTCATATGAAAGAACATCTACATGTATTTCATAAGAATACAATTAAATATAAAAATACATTAAAATATAAGGAAGAGAAGACTATGATTCTCTATAAGAATATTCTTCAATAATATAGCTCTATCTTAAAGAGCATTATATATCTTTAAAGAATATAGATGTTCTGCAGCATTTTGTGAACGAGAATTATTTGGTTGATTTTATTACTTGTTCATTTAGATACTCACATGTTTAGAAAAATGATGCAAGTATTTCATTGCCTAAGACAATGTCTTGTCGACAATCAGAGTGACTTGTCGTTGAAACTCAGCCATTGTATTTGTATTAAAGAATACTTTTGTTTCAGATCTAGACAATCAAAAAATTTCTCAGAAGCATTGCCTGAGAGTTTCCAGGCAGGAAAGTCTTAGTCTAGCATCATGTCTTTTTTCCCCTAATTTTTTATTTATTCGTACTTGAATAATCCAGTTTTCTTGAACCCCTAAGGCAAACTCATTGACTTCCTCTGTCTGGCAGATGGGTTTTAGCCATGTATTGTTTCTTAAAATTTTTATGCTGTCACACACATCATATTTGTCTCAGCTGGAAAAATACATTTATAGAAAATCCTGTTTGCTGGTTGTCTTACCAGTTTCGGAAGGTTTGCACCTTTCATTTAGTCCAAATAAATTTTACGTGCAAGTATTTTATATCGCTTGGGGGAACATCAAAGCTCAAGCGTAGCAAGTCAAACATCTTTTATGCATGGTGCTTCTTTGTATGGATAAGAAGTCCTTGCCCTTGAAACAGTCAAAGAAACAAAGTGAAATATGCCTCTCTTCTGAGTATTTTGCACCAGTTTTTTTTTTTTTTGGTTGAACTTGTAAATCATATCCCATCTTTTATTTGCAACTTATTTCAAATTGCAATTCTTGACGTATTTTGAGGTTTCTTTGAGACTTCTAAATGGGCAAAATTTACTTGCAGCATCAAATATTACCACTTTTGGAGAGTTTTGGAGTTTCCACTGTGTAACACTGAGCGGGGTTGCTGTTGAGTCACTGAGTGAAGAACACCAGAGTGTCCCAGAGAGGAAAACTAAATGTGTTAAACACTGTGGAGGTTCACCAGCTCTGTAATACTGTGATCTGAAATAACACTTTGCATTAGAACTTGCTCTACCTGTATTAATTATGCATACTGCCAGACACCAACAGAATGATTTCCAGTATGAGAGCTGTACCTAAAATAACAGAAAAAGAGGACTTGGATTCAAAGGACATGGGATGAAACAGATCATCAGCTGGATTTCGTACTGAGTTTGAGAGGGTTTTTCTAACTAAGAAAAATGAGAGAGCTTGATCTTGATGTAAAGTAAGTGGAAGCCTGTTCTCCAAAAGAAAGAGCACTAACCAAGACCGGACTCTGTTCCCATCCCGAGAAATAGACAGTCTGTGATTTGACATCTTCTGGCTAACTCCAGCTTGGGGTATGTAAATGTATTATTACATGCCACTCTCAAGTCCAACCAAGGTCTGGGCTGGCAGCTGCCCGGGCTGGCATCCCACAGTACAACTGGCATCCAAGTGACAGGCGGGATGCGCTCATATCCTACAATGTTAGAAGGGTTAGATCAGGTGGTCTTGTTGATTCATCAGTGAGCATCTGAAATACAATTGCATATCTCCACGTGAGCTGGCTCAAATCTGGGCTGCTGGCTAGTCAGCAATGCATAAATCTGGAATTAATAAATATTGGACCATAAATTTAGACAGCAGTAGGAACTGGCAACTAATGACTGTGACTTTAGTGCCCTCTCAGTCATGTTGATGTAACTGTTTGTGGAGCTATGCCGTAAATCAGATCACTCAACACAGATTCAAGAATTCTAAAATAGTCTTTTTTAAGCTGAATTATTCCATTGATTAAATCTAAATCTGGGTCCCACAAACAGTTGCATTGGCATAATTGCAGCATTGGTAGACTGTGACACAAAAGATAGCATGGGAAGAAGGAAGGGAGAGAAGTGGATAGTTCTTAAATTTTGTCAGTGGAGACAAGATGTCTGTGTAACCCTAGCCTTACTCTGAACTGCAGACCATCTCAGAGGCTCTCCGTCAATTTCACTTTCTGATCCCTCATGCTCAGCCTATCTCAAACTGTGTCTATAGCCAGGTTTGTATGTTTATTAATATGCGATTGGTGCCATACTAAATCACTTAATGGTACTGAATTGATCCAGTTCAAATATGAGCATGTAGCTGCATTCCTGTCAAGACTAGCCAACTATGACTTAGGATGTGTAGACCTGGCTTTATCCTGGCTGTATACTGTCAGCAGGAGGGCAGATGATACCACCTCTACCATAAAATCATCAGGGGTAAAACCACCTTTCAGAACTGTGTGTTTTTTGTTTAACAAATTTGAACTGGTGGATTTAATTTGTACTAAGTATTTTGTGCTATATGGCCACCCTAAAACTGAATTTATGAAAGTCATGGAATTGCAGTTGTATTCTGGTGAGAACTTGCCTTCAGCTTCTCTATTAGGTTAATTTTTAAATACATAGTTCCCGTTAAATTTAGGTGCAAAACGGGAAGTGATTTCTTGTTAAAAGGTGATATGTAACACTTTAAGTTCCTACTGTCTCTAATACAAGAAAAGTTTCTATAATATTCTAGCTGGTATATTTAGAAAAGAGCAGACAGGCTCTGAAGCAGAACAACATCATTTAAGTCCTTTCCCTCCCATGATTACACCAACGATTTTATTCCTTGCATATTCTTACAGATGTAAGAATAAGATAATCTCATATACTTCCTTGTCAAACAAAAATGTCTTAGTATATTTTTATCATAAGAAATGTACTTTCAATTTAAAAAACAGATCTTCACGTTAACTGTCTTTCTAATGCTGTATTTCTCTTTATTTTTCTTAAGAAAGAAGAACTATGTCTCTAACTATAAGAAGATGTTGTGCAAGGGAAAGTCAAAGTTAAAACTTGGCAAGCACTAAAACAAAGAATTTTTCCCAGGAAATGGAGGAGACTGGTAAAATTAATTCCTGATGTAACTCCATTTACCTCAGTGTAGTTACACAAAGGATGGATTTGGTACCTTATAGTTCCTCTGTGGTCGGAAAAGGATTCCTGTGATCTCAATTAACATGGTATAAAATAATCGCCTTTAAGAAACAAAATTGTAATTTAAGCCTGATAGAACTGCTCTTGTTATTTTTAGTCTGTTAATATAACTGTAAAAGAACAATAGGTCTAGAGAACAACAACAACAAGGACTTTTATAAAAAGATTGGTACATGATGATTTGCAGCTTACATCCTCAGCAGTAGTTTTTTGTAGGAAGGAAGAACTCATGACAGATTCTGTTGTTCTCTACCTCAGGTTTCCCAAGTCTTTTGGCTCCACTGTGTGTGCAGAGGTCTCTGGTCTTTCTCTGTTTTCTCCTTAGTTTTGAGTTTTTTGGGTTCTTCTCTTCAGGCAGAAACGTTCAACTGCTTTGGACAGAGGAAGGAAGGATGGCTGGGCCTCAACATAATTTCTTTTTAGATTTTAAATTTCAATATGCTTAGTTTGAGATGCTTTAAAATAACTCAATTTCACTCTGAGAACCCAGCCTCCATATGTCAAACTGAGTACTCAAATATAGCTATACCACGAGATTCTTTTTAATTTTAAAACCTTGTTACGAAATATCAACTCCCTCCTCCAATTCAGAAAATACTTTTAAAATTAACATATTAAGATCTTTTAGTGGTGTAATGTAAAAACAGCTATTTAGTGCATTAGTGCAATGAAATTGAAGTCAACAGTCTGTTTTTTATCCTCATAAACTTGCAACTGTCAGTTTTGATACAGAGGAAAGGATCTGTGTATACATGCGTATAAAAGATGTGAAAATACAGAGGCATTTATTGAAAACAGGCAAAACCAGGAAGATGATAAAATTGCAGAAGGAAGTAGCCTCAGATATAAAAACTTCTGCTCCGAATAGCAGAACTTATCACTAAAAGATAAGGCTGGCAAATTGCCATGCTTCAGATAAAACTAGCAAAGCAATACAGAAAAATTTTGAATTAGTGTACAAAATATAATAAATGTGTTTGAAAAACTAATGTCCTGCAAAGTAATTCAAGAAGACATTTTATTTTTGAGTTTCCTTTCTTACGTGCCTCTTTATGAGCTTAATTATATTTTCAAATACGGAAATCACAGTTGTATGGATACTAGCTCTGCTCTGAGGAGATCTGCATCAGGTTTGCAATTCATCAGCATTTAGCAGATCTCCAAGTATTCAAAATTAAACAAAGATGGTGAAAATATATTTGGAGAGCATTTTTTTTGTTACTATCAAAATTATTTAAGCACGTTTTGTAGAAAAATCTAAAAATTTAAAAAAATCTAAAATTTAAAAATCTACTGCACAGTTTTAATCCACAAAGCTACTAAAGTAAATGTGGACTGCTAAAACATTTTCGTACTGGATAAAAAATGCTTTTGCATGCTGAGTATCTTCTCCATTTACTTAAATATTTCTGGGGAAAAAATCCAGAGCTTTAGGAAGAAACAGGCAGTTGCACCTGAAAGACTTCACATAATAGTTTTGAAAACCTGCATTTGACCTAGGACGCTTCAAACAACATGAAAATCTGGGGGGGTTAGTTCACTTACGGAGAATAAATTAGTCCTCTTCTGCAAGGATGTTTTCTCCTGTCTGGCCTGATAAGGCCTCCATTCTGGTTTTATTCCTACTGGAAGTGAAATTATTTCAGTAGGAGATGCACAATGAGCACAGCTAAATTCTTACGACTAACAAAACCGTGCTGTTACTCTCTGTGCCCGTCTTTAAGGCTTTCCCGAACTCTGTGTGTATACAGGACTCCAAACCTGAAAAACAAGGTGACAGATAAAACTAACAGAATTTCAACATCTTGATCAGATTTGTAAGACTGATGATAGACTGTTGAGTACTGTTTATTTTCTTAAATAATGTGTCTTTCTCTCATAGTGGTAAACTTCTGTAACTTGTTGACAAGAACTATTATCTCATTCATAGATTAAATCCATCCGTGACATATTTTGGGATGTTTTTTGTATCTGAATCTTCAGCGTCCTGCTTGCTCCTATGAAATTTGCTGGTCCATCCTTTGGAAAGAATAGTAGCTTAGCGGTTCCTTTTCTAGCTACTGCTTTTTCTATTAAATGGTGTGGAATTTCTGCATAACTTATACAAAACTCTCCTTTCTGTAAATATTGTATTTCATTCTGGTTTGGTAATGCTGTGATGCACAGATAGGCACTAAAAAGAGATAAATTTTGAGATAAATTCTTCTTCATATTTTTCAGCTAAAATATTGAAACTATTAAAAAAAGGAGATAATATTCTGCTTTTCTTAGTTTATGAAACTGCAGATAATGGCAGATAAATGAAGCAGTCTTCTAGGAAACCTGAACTTCTAACTGATTATACACAATATGTCAGAAGGCTTAAAATATGCAATAGGAACAAGTAGAGCAGTAGCTTCATCACACTGGGAATTTGGAAAATCCATAGTAATTTCAGAATAATGCAACAGAAAAGAAAGGTATGTTTTCACTGTGCTTAATGTAGCATGGATGTGTTTCCATTCCTTACTACCTGATTATTTATCATTTATGTAAAACACTTCAGACTTGAGCAGGAGAACATTCTCAAGCTAAACAAGCAAAAATGCATATGTATGTGCATATACATTTAAATATTTACATATGTTTACATACAGGCAGTACAAAAATACCATTTCATGTCTTATGCAAATTAAATAGTCTTTTATCTCTAGGTCCCAAGATTAGAGGCGTCCAAGAGTATAATGAGCAAAAGACTCTAGGAAGGCGGCTACAAAGCTGGTGTGGATAATACTACGTTGGTTTCAGGCCAGTTTTGAACCAAGACCTGGCCACTCACTTTCAATAATCAGTTCTAACTGGAACTCTTTCTTGATTTTTTTACAGAGGCCGTTAACAACAAGTTTGGAGACAAGACTCCCCGTTTGGAGTCTGGCTGAGTAAAATAAATTTTCTTCCCCTTCTGCTAACAAGCAGCAATTGTTACAATGCTTCTTTAGTAAACTCACAGCTAGTAACAGCAAACTAAAAAGATGTCACTAACTTAAGTGCAATCCTACCTGAATTACTGAATTTACTGTTAGCCAGGGTGCCTCCTATTGTAACTGAAAATTGCAGAGAGAGGCTTTAGTTCTACTGTGTGTGTGCGCATGTGCAGGTCTCAGCCACAAACCCTTTAGGAAAACTAGGAGAAAATGACTATGCAATTTTTCCATACAACAAGAAAAATTTTGTAAAGAGAAGAAAAAATATTACAACATGGCAATATTTACGGGAATAATTTGAAAGCAGAATTTGTTGTGCTTTAAACTATCAAAAAGAGCTCTGAAAATATTTTTTCATGCTTATTTCTCTAACAATCCTCATTTCTTGTAAGGACTCTCTAATGAATATAATTTGGTGTAACTTTATTCAACGTTCCAAGAAAATAGTCCAATATACTTTCTTGAGCGTTAAGAGTTGCTAAAAATATTAAATGTATTCTTTTAACTGTCGCACCAACATCAGACTAGTTTTAAGCAAAATAATGCAAGATGCGAGCATACCCCAGACGAACAACATGTTGTAGAGAAGCAAGAAAGAAAACGTAATGTTCCGGGGAAGGAATACAAAATGGTAACACCTACTTTACGTAAAAGGCAGTAATAACCTTATTATCGATAACTGCTTGCAGTTCCTGAGAGATAATTTATGATCAAAAAACACCAGGGACTAAAGCTACGTAAACACTGTTAGCAAACACTGTTAACCAATGTAATCATTCAAAAAAGGAGCAAATTATATCACTTAATAAACCAGGGTTCCTAGGAGTTTTTTCTGTTATAGAAGACCATGGGGTGTGCTGTAACTTTGGACATTGTTTATTTTATTTTTATTACCTCTCAGCTGCTAAAAGCCGACAATTTGTTTCAGAATAATACAGCTATATTTTGTTTTTTTGCTAGAAGCACAGTATTTTGAATGTAATGAATTTCGGAGCACTCAGGAAGATATCATCTCTGTGTAGCCAAAAGGGAAGTATTTGGTCCACCATCACCTAATGAGTCACGGGAGAGACAAGAATATAACTACAAGTCTGTGCTCTGACTTGTTAAATCACTCATTCTTTCCTTTATTGTGTACATAGGAACATAAGTATGATCAGGTGGGTATGTGTTAAAATATTGGCAAATACGGTATTTTAATAAAAATTATGCATTTTTAGTATATGGTACTGGGGAGTTGATTTACCATTACTGGCAACAAGATGGACAAAGACCAGAAGCAGTGAGTAGTTTAAGTGGCTGTCATTGGCAAACCACTATATCATTCTAAGTAGCTGAGTAATGATCTAACATGTGGCTTTGTTTTCTTTGTGTCCTTTAGTGTTCCCATGTAATATTTGTCTAGGAGGTGAGTATGCTTCCCATTTGAATCATTGGGAAGATTCCCATTGACTGTACTGTCAGCGGGCTTGGACTTTAAACCTAGGCTAAACTTAAAGGCATTCCCATAAAACACAGCAGCCCTGACCTTGCAATTTGGTTCACGTAGGAAGATATTCATGCTTACAGGACTCCTATTAAGTCGACAAGGCAAGGCATCAGTGCTGATCTTGTGTGACTGGATTACAGGATTGAAGCTGTGATTTGCCCTCCTAAAACCACTTTAATTTACTTAAACAGATAAATCCTAGTATCAGATTTCTTATTGACTACCCTTTCTGAAATGCAAAAAAAAAAATCAACTTGTCAACTTTCTTCAGATTTTGAATGGACTACTTCACCTCCTAGCTCTGGATTACAATAAGGTGCGTGTAGGACTGAAGGGATAACAGAAATAAATAACTGAGGACAAAATAGTAAAAGTGTAATTTCCCTTTCCTGTAAAACTGATACAAAATACTTCTGCCTTTTTTTATTCCCTCTAAGCTCATTTCTAACACTTACTTAACCTCACCTCAAAAAAAAAAAAAAAAGTGGGCGCCTGAGTTGTTTGACAGAGTTCCTGTCATAAGGAAAGATCAGATCAGATTGTCTTGTCTCACACTGTAATTCCCATCTCTTCATCCTATTTTGCTGCCAAAATGATTATCAAAATTAAACAAAAAACATGCTCAAAGTGCTTCCCTTTTTTTTTTTTGGTTGGCTTTTTTTTTTTTTCCCCCCCAGAGTAAAGCATCAGCCAGTATCAGGAAGAAAATTTGTAAACTTTTTAATAAAGAGTTGACTTTAAAATCATTAGACTGCTTCACTGTTTCTTATTTTAGGCTTCCTGTCTGCCAATTTCAGATACTATTACTTCTTTTTTAAAAAAGTGGGTGCCTCTACCAATAGCATTTGAATGCCAAATATAGCAGCATATAGTGTAGTCCTTACCTTGCAAGTTTTTGTATGTTTGAAAACAGTCATCTTGTATATGTCATTATTTATCACAGCTAGAATATCTGCTAGAAGGTAGAAGTTCGGTTCCTTCCCAGGCAGATCAGCTGCTGGATTTGACAAGTATATATCAGTAACGAAGACTTCACTAGAGGTATTTTCACTGAGAATGCATTCTTTTGTAGTAACTAGATGTACAAACACGGAATTGAAGCTTTGGACAATGCTATTTCAGTGTGGCCTACAAAAAAGCACTGTTTACATGGAAGAAAAAGACTGCTAAAATACTGCATTCAGGAAAGGCTACAGTGCCTTATGGATACTGTATGAAAATACATTAGAATAAACTGAGCAAGTGCCAAAGAATCTTCATGAAGTAACCACAAAAAAGGGGGGGGGGAAAAAAATCTCTGCAGATATTTAGATTGTTGACATTGGCAACTAAGTGGTTCAGCTAAATAGAAAGAAAACAGAACAGTTAACAATTGCAAGATAATGATTATAAACACAGAAAGAAAAGGTGAGGAAGAGCTCAGAAACTCACGTTTCACAATGACAACACAAACCAGACAGCTTTTATTTTAACCAACGGATTGTAGGGAGCACACCACATGCCAAAGTGAAGGACTAGAAACCTGCTATAGTCTGTACAGATAGTATCACTCAGAAGGCAGCTAGAGGGAAACAAGATAAGGCTGTCTAACTCTGAAAACAGTTAAAGCTTTCAGTCTTTCTTGACTAGGTGGGGACAGACAAGTAAATCTAGTTTCTGTGGTAGTCTTCTATTTTCAGCCTAATAGAAAATTTATCATCTACAAACCTGACTTAAAATGACAAATATTTAAAGGTGCACAAGCAAGTCTTCACAAGCAAGGTGTTATAGGAGTATCATAAAAATTATTTCTATTTTTTAATCTCACTTACCAAAAAAATCCAAATTAATACATCTATTTATCCTCTGTTTTGGGCTTTTTATTTACATTAAAATTAGAAGGAACCCATTCAAACTTCTTCTCTGAACTACATCAGAATGATTATATTTTAAGAATGGCAAAAAATACACAGTACTCACAGTTTGCTTTCTTCATTCTAGGGAATTCTTACCATGAGCAGAGACCAGAAGTTAGAAATGTTGCAACTATTCAAACTCTGGAGCAAGTCATATATGCATGCAGTCAATGTGCAGTATTCCACAATACTTGGAATGCAAGGGTAAGACTTGAAAGAGGATTTGAGAACCTCTGCTGTAGAACAGATTTTTTTTTTCTTTTTCTTTTTTTTTTAGACAAGAGGCCAGACAGCATCACTGTGCTCAAAAGGGTTATTTGTGAATAACTCAGAGCTAAAGTGATTATGGGCTCCAGCTCCTAGCCAAAAAAAAAAAAAAAGTTTAAAAAACACCAAGCTTGTCACTGCTGCTGTTTTTTTGTTCAATGAGCAAGAGGTGAGCATTTGACTTAATTTTGATTTTGTTCCTTTACCCCTAGGGATAGTTTCAACAGAATGCATAAGATTTGAAGGAATTAAGAAATGTGGATATAGATAGATATATGTATATATATGCATTTTTGTCATTGAACTATGAGGTTAAAGATGCATAAAGGAGCATTTTGAGATGCACAGAAAATATTTATGATAAATAGAAATAGCAATAACAGAAGGCTTATAATGTGCTTTTACAAGCACAGCACAGTGCTTGATAATTAGACCTCTATCCATTATTATTTTTTTTTTTTAATGAAATGTAAGGCATTCTCTCCATTTTCTTAAATCTTTTTCTTAAGAGACATGGATATTTGCAGCAGAATCTTTGTTTTTTATGGCCTTAGTCATAGACCATCTCAAAGAGAAAGCCCACCACCTTGCATCTGACTTCCGATCCTAACGGGAGATTTTGACACACCTATTTTAGCATGTCTTTTCCCAAGTTTATTTGCCAGTGTATTCTGAAGCCCTTGAAATTACCTGTGAGCTGCAGGTATCATGCCTATATATACATAAATACACACACAAAACTACTGATAATCCATCTGAAAGTGATGACAAAATTAATAATTAGGGCTGGGTCACATCAGTGTGACAGTGAATTAGCTAGAATGTCCTGTCCAGCCAAAATGTTAAACACTATTGCTTTAGTATGTACCACGCAAATTCCAGAAGCAATAAGGAATGTACAGTGACATACAGAGAGAGTTGATGCACTTCATAAACTGTGGATATCTTAACATAAGACAAAACGTTATAGTGCGTATTAGATTACATTCATTTTGCTTCCCCCACTCCTTCATTTCTGTTAAGATCATGTTTTGAGGGAAACAACACTCAGCTTTCATCATTAAGAGTATACGTTAATTTTGTATTCAAGATGTCAGCCTTTGCTTCAGCGTCGTCGATACCATTTCTCTACAGAATAAATGTAGCACATAAAACAATAGCATACTTCCTCAGCATTTATCACTTGTGGCATCAAGGCCCTGAGAATAAACAAAAAATGTACGTTAATTATGTCTTTTGATTCTAGAACCAAAAAATCAGCTGATAGCAGCTTTTAGGAGAGATCTGAAGGTTGAAGGGTTTGGGGCTTGTTTGTTTTTCATGCTCTACATCAAGCAGAAGATAAATGTTTATGCCACTCCTTTCATGCAAGTATTTTATTCAGCAAAAAGCAAACTCCAGAATATCTGTTAACACTAAGGTGATTTTAACTCTCAAGAGAAACATCCAGCAATGAATGTTATCCAGAGTTTCACAAGAGAATTGCTATGTCCTTTCTACACAGCTAGCATGATTTGCTTTCCCCTTCTAAACGAGACTGCAGTACAAGATTAGACCTACTTAATTGGGAAATACCTTGGAACTGTATTAAATTTTTCTGGTTTAAGATGTGGCATAAAAAAATAGAGTGTAAAAAGAATCCCCGTGAACACTGGTGGCTAACAATTGAGCTAGCCTGTTGCTCAGATACCAAATTTTCAAGGATAAGCATAACTGCGCTGTTATTCTCACACAGATTTTAAATTTGTTTGGTATGATGAGATTTGATAAATGCACATCTCCCAAATTTTATCTCTGAAAAGCCAGTCACTCTCTGCCTATGACTTTACATAGGCAGAAACAGGAGCTTCTAAGTTATTTGTACATCTCATTTGTACATGTACCTCTGTGCTATTTATAGAATGAAAAATTGGAATGAGAAGCACCAAAACTAGCTCTTTTGTTCAACACAGCCAGAAGATCATTTATTAAAAGGCTTTTATTTCTATTTTTAAATAGCTCGATAAAATCCATCAATTGGTATTCAGAGTTCAATTGTAAACAGTTGCAATAAGTTACCATTGGGTATTGATTTTGTACATTACGCTATTTGCGGTGACAAACCGTAAGACAAGTCAAATCCAGCATATTTGTAAACTGAAATGCACTAAGAAAAACCTACGCCATAACTGAAAATATTCAAAAGATTGATATTTAACTCCCTCCTGTGGTGTAAGCAAGCAGCATCAGAATTCATCAACAGCTTCTAGAAGCTTAGATAGCTTTCTCTATTATTCAAAAGTCTGTATTAACATCATTAGGGCAACAAGTTTCAAGTTTACTATGGAAACTCCTTTCACAAGTTAAAAATTGTTATTATAAAGTTCTAAAATACATATAAAGTTGTAAACATCTTTCTCTGCAACAGAGATTGTTTGTGCCAGACGTCTCAATCTCTCACATTGCAATTGAAACAAAAAACAAACAACAAAAAATAACAAATCACACACTTAAGGCCCAAGACTAAGGCCATAGACTAAAATCGTTTTGCACGGATAACATCGCAGTTCACAGGAAGTATTATAAACATCAGCATTTAAAGTCAGTCAGCAGAAGGGTGTAGAACCCATTTTCAATGAAGTTCATTGAATACTCATCACCTTCAGCACTAAGCTTTAGATTTACCTACTTTTAAGAATGAAAGCTTAAATTACATCCAGGTATTTTATATTTGATAATAGATAAAAATTGACTACAACCAAAAGATTAAAGAACAGTGCTGCTTTAGAAGATATACCATTTTTGCGGTCAGTTTATATCTGTATAGATCTCCCACAAAGGAAGAAGAGAGAAATTTCAAAATATAATATAAATACACTGAGACCAACAAAATAAACAGAAGCCTTTCACGGCAGATTTTCTTTCTGGAAGTCCCTTGGGCCATTTTCTAAAATGGATTAGATTTCAAATGGATTTTGTCATTAACAATGAAACAACCACCTGTACAGGCTTGAATCCTGTATCACAACTGCCAAAAAGACTTAAGATCATTGAGATTTCAGGATACAATTCAGGATTAATTTCAGAGTAAACACCAATAGAGTGTACTCAGTGGAAGGTGTTATAGGAAGGCAGCATGATGATAGCTCGCACTTCCATATTATTATTCTTGTTTTCACACCAAATGTTAGCAGACTGGTATGTGTTCTTGAATTTAGTAATGCGAGCCGATTCATTAATACTTTTATATCCAAAAAATTGTCTATTTGAAAGTTCTGTCAAATGCAGCTCCTCGTTGAAGATTAGAGGTTTTGTAGTCTCGAATTTCAAAAGGGGGAAGCATCATAAATTTTAACTAAAAAAAAAAAAAATTTTAAGTTTTCCCCCAGTTGACTGCAGCACAGAAAACATGCGTAAGTGTCAGAACGTCTTATTCAATGCATTATTGGAAAAAAGATTTTAAAATATTAAGAGCATATTCATAAGAAATTTTCAAAGTTGATGACAAAAAACAAAAAACAGTCTGGAAGCTAGCATAACGCTAATGTCTTAAGTTTTGACTGCGTTGTATTTGATAATTCCCAAGTTCTAGCTGGAATTCTCAGCTGACAGAGGTATAGCAAGTTTGGATTACTAAATATTGGATTTTAATCAAAGCAGCTGCTGTGAAGGGAGGGGGAAGCAGAACATGTGTCACACTGGCTACCTACTGCTCTGTCAGATATACCCTTTGTCATATACCCTAATGACAAAGTAAGGATGCTTACATCTGTTTTCTGTCAATGTGTTATATGTAATTACTGGGGAGCGTTTCTGAAATGGAACAGAACACCAGCATGCACACATGCTAAGAAACGGCAGGGCGGGAAGGGAAAGGAAGGAAAATAAAATAGGTAGGACCCAAGCCATAATTTGGCAACAGAACAAAACACACACACACTTGACAGTAAGCCGATATATTAGGAAAGTGGTTACGGCTTGCTCCTTCCAAAAATTAGAAGTGTGTGTACCTACAAGGAGGCCCAAGGGAAGAGGAAAGGAGGAAAAAAAGCAAGCTTTGGAAAAGCTTAAGAAAGTGCAGTCTTTACAGTCTTAAAAATAACCTCTGAAAAAGCAAGAGGCTAGAAAATGTCTACAGATAAAACTGCTTTGCGATGCATGATGTATACAGATGTGCTTTAAGACTGCACTAATACCACATTGAGAAGCACACCACCATCTCTACTGCATTTTGCATTGTAATGCCAGAAAGTAAGAGTTTGCATGAGCATTCCAACATCATACTGTGATAATATGGGTTTTACCCACATGCAGACTGTGTACACACATTTAAAAGTATCTTTTCTTTTGTAAAGCAGTACACTATATATAGTAACGTTCCACTCTAACATATGTTTATGGGAAATTGCTAGGCAATTCATTCTAAGTATTGAATATTTTCTTACTCAATTTATTCGATTTCTAATGGCAAAAATCAAACTCAGGAGGGATCTGGACACTGATGAGTGACAGTTTAAAAGCATTAGAGTTGATTAGGAGAACCCTTAGATTTTGCTTAGAAACCCCTCTTTTCAACACTAATAAAAATAGCATGATTAAGGGGAGAGGAAGTAAGAAGGCAAATCCTGGTTCATGTTAAAGGCCCCTTATCCCTATTAAAAATGTTATTCTTCTGCACTATAAGTTGTCCGTGTCAGTCTCAACCCTAACAGGGCATTTACTCAGAAAAGCGCTTTTCATTTCTGACTTAGAGAGGCCGTGAAACTCCCTATAAACTGGTTCTTAGCTGAGATGTTTTCCATCTTTTGAGATGAGTTAGTATCAAGCCATTTGTATGAAGAGAGCAGTGGTTTAAATATATTGTTTGATTTATATATAGTTTCAAAGGATCTCCATCTTGGTTCATTATTCTCCCCCTAAAGAGGGGAAAACTGCCATTTGAGTGTAACCTCTGCCAGTTTAATAGTTCCATTAGTGCAAGAATACTGCTTTCAATTTATGACCTTCCCAAGCTTAAAGTGCAACATATTATGTGAGATTTTAGCATACTAACTATCCTTTATTTCAATTTCACGTGGAATGTTCAAGTTAAGTTACCTTTTAGGTTTTAAGCAATAAAATCCAAGGCAAAGTACATAAACTATGTTAAAATGGATTAAATCCACTCACTTGAGACATATTATTTAAAATTTATGTTCATTATACATATAATATACAAATACCTATCACCATGTTGCTTATCTGTATTGCAGTTATTTAAAGTGATCCTGTAATAGTGATTAAAGGCCACTCACGCAATGCAAGTTTTGCTTATGACAGGTCTATAGTATCTAGATTGTATCACAGTCCAGATAATAATACTACCCAACACTCCAAGATCCCCTCCTGAATAGGCTTGTTATCCATAAAAAGACAAGTCCTGGCACCCCACTAAACACATATTTAAATTCTAATTTACAGGTGGTTTATCTTGTTTTTCCTCCTCCTCCTTTTTTAAATCACCACCCATAAGTGCATAAAAACAGGATTAATGCTTTTATGCCTTCAGCTACTCTTCTTGCTTATTAATCTAACAGTATTATTTACAAATGTGTGTTGTATGTAACTGTGGTTCCAATAGCCCACAGTTTCAAAATAACGTACATCTGGGAAGAGAACACTCTAGGCCAAGCTGTTCAGCTGAGCAGAGGGACTCTTGAGTAGTAACTACAGGTACAGCTGTGCCAACCAATTCTTTATAGAGGGAAATCCAAGCAGTCAATTGTGGAGGCAGGGTTGTGTTTAGGTACAAAGGTAAAAGAGCTCAATATACAGGAAGAGAGTTTTTCCTTTACCTATATAGTTAATTATAGAGATTAAGATGCAGTTGCACAATGACTTCTTTAGCAATCAAGCCAGCTTAAACAGGCTTCAGTTCATCCCTACCTTCATTCCTGTGCCTTGAGCTCTGCCAGCTGTTTTTAGGGTCAAGCTGTGGATAGGTGACAATTGAACACCATAATTCAAATAAGCCACAAACTTTTTGGGAAATGTCTGTTTCTGACATTTGGGGATTTTAAATCCACGTTATTTCAGCAGTCTTGATCCACAAGCACTTCTGTTAATACCACTGCAAGGGTGATAAACTGCAGCAGCGGAGACAGAAAGGAAAAGCATCAATAGCTTGACTGCAAGGAAACTGTTGCTGTCAAAATAATTACTTATAACCTATAATCTATTATTATGTTGCAGTTTCTGGTAATTTTGTGACTGGTAATCATGTGGTTAAAGGTCTAGAAGTTAAATAATTAAGAGCATATACCCATGAAAAAGTTATTGTCTAAATTATAACAAATGGCTTTTTATCTCTTCTAACATCCAGAAGAAATAGTCAACCAATGGGGATATAAAATACATAAAATACCATTTGACACAAAAACTAGCATATCTTACTTTCAGCACTCCTATAAGCTTAGAAGAAGCTAATACTTCTCTCCATAACACTGCTAACTGGCATCTCATCTTCATAACATCAGGCTTCTTGCATAAGAAGGCTTTTGTGCAGTGAGCTAACGCACAAAGAAACACTACGTTAGAAACTCTACTGGCTTTCCAGTTTAAAACAATTCAGACTGTATGCAACGTTGCTTATTCCGTTTCCAAAGTGAAGTACGATAGACAGCAAAAAGGGATACTTAGTGTATGGATCACTAGGGTTAGTTTACTCTGCATCAAGTCCTCACTTTTAATTCACAGTGAAGAGCAAGCTGAAATGCATGCTAACTCACCATATCACTACTTCCCTCTTCAGGCAAGTCCACAGAGCACATTAAGCTCATCTGTGCTAACTCCCTTTGTTGAGATTTTCAGGCGCTAAAGTTTGACATACTGCACGTTAAGTTTCTCCATCTAAGTGCCCAAAGGAGCATATTCCTGCAAATTCTTATTCACAAGTAACTCTATTGCTTTCAACACATTTGCTCCACTCTTTGCCAAACACTGTGGAAGTCTGTCCCAAAGCCAAAGTCAGCAGGCCCAGAAATGATTACTATGCTTCAGTGATAACAATCTTTTTTTCAAAGAAAGGAAATGTTCCCTTAGAAAATTATTTATACTGTGCCCATTTAACTGCAGCCCAATGAAGTTCATGAGATATTGTTCAAATTAGAGCAGTACCATTTTTGAGAAAAACACTGCTGAGAATTATGCTATGCTGAAGACTCCCCACCCACCTTTTCTTAAAAGCTTTCCAATCCAAAGTGTTTTAATGACCAGTAGTTGCTGTTGGATTCAGAGCAGGAGTTCAGTTCTCTAAGTAAGTTTCCTTAGAAATTATTGTAAACAGTAGCCAGAGCACTCAGCGAATACAGAAAAAAAGGATCCGTGCAAAAGAGTCAAACTGAGTTCTAGTCTAGTGTTAACGGGAGACCTGTAGAAGTCCCGCACAATTTTAAGATTAAGAAGTACTTTCCACTTAGAGGCAAATATTCCTTACTAAAAATAATCCCTGTTATTCAACAGCCAGTTTACTAGCAATTACACAAGTATAATTTTAATTTAGCTGTCTACTTCTCACTAAAACCTTAACTGTAACCTTGTCTCTGTGATTCAATCAGTTAAATTTCTATTAATGTTAAAAATAGTAATTAAAATTTTAGCACTTTTTTACCTTTGCTACTCCATACCAGAGACCTGCTAGTGCAAAAGCTAGCACAGAAGTCACTAGCTGTATGATGTGAAAATTACTTGTCACATATTTTATGTTTGAAAGCATTTTCTTATATCCAGTTGTTTTCTCTGAAGATACAAGGTTTAAGTAACAAAGAAAAAAACATGGTTTCTGGTTGTTTAAGAGTCCCATAGTATATTCACTCAGTGAGGCAACTGGAATAGAATAAAGATCAGAAAGTCCACCAAATTCCAACTCTCCAGGAAACGCAAGCTGCAATTCATTCTCTATGCTGCTGCTCGTTTCTGATTCCAGGCACAGTGAGTTTTGATTATACTGCAACTTTGACAGCCAGAAGTATGCAAGGCATACACTGTTGTCTCCTGGACAGAACCAGCTACTTAAGCCTTTAGCAAAACAGCAAGCTTTCTCCATCCAGCCCTTTACTGAAGTACTGTTAATGCAAAGAGAAACCCTATCAAGTCTGTCTTTCTCAGAAGAAAAATGCAGACAAAATGAGTCCTTTGAAGAAGCAGCTGTACTTGAGTTTCTCCCTGCCGATTCACTCAAACTCGGAGGCATTTCCTTGCCAATATAACACAGAGGTATAGCATTAAAGACTGAACAATTCCTGATCTTAAAATATAGTAATTCTTTTCGTAAACTGTTACTACGATTTTGAGAGCTGTTCAACAAAGAATGTATGTGTTTAAGGCGAGTTGCTGCCTTGTGATGACCTGGGCCACTTTCAGATACTTGTTTCTGGTTTAAGTCTTCTTTCTCCATATTCCTACAGGAGACAGGCATAGCTTTGCTGTTTCACAGCAGGCCGAGTCTGAAAAGCGTGATTGACTTTAGTTCCAGCATAGAGCACAAGCAGCCTACCAAGCCACAAGTCAGTGGATCTCAATATGGACCTAAGAAAGAAAGAATACAGAAGGTTAACACAATAATTCCCCACCCCAGATTTTTTTAAACTCATCTCAAAGAGAGCTCATCTGCTCTTCTAGATTCCAGTTCCTTTTGTGACCAGTAGATGGAAAAATGATTTCTTTAACGTGAAGAAAAGGAGTAACCTAACTGTAGAAAGCAACAGTAGTGCAAACAGATAGGTTCTTCCTACAGACTGCCTGAGCTCATCCAAAGGAAGAGAAGGAAGAAGGGGGAAAGAGGTAGGCTCACATATAAACTTTCTTCTGTAGTTTCAGTTTAGTCTGTTAGGAACCCTGTTTTGATAACGACGAGCAAAGTGAGTCAGCAAATTAGCAGCTAGAAAGATGCACTGCATAACAGTACAATGTTCTTTAACCAATGAAAATACAGCCTTTTAGCAAAGAGAGGTTTAACATTAAAGGCAAATGTTAGCGTCATTTTCCTGTAAACGAAAATACCTGCTGAAATCAAAGACAGAACACCAGAAACCAAGGATATATTTATTGTTCAGCGCTTCCGGGAGAGAACCGGTCAGACTGGCTACACCAGCATAATTAGAGGGTAAGCTGTTACGTTGTAGTCAAATGCCAAGCCGATGTTGTTACAAGAGAATTATGTGCCGACACAGATAACAAACAAAGGAAAGGCCTTTTTAGCCACCAGGATTACTACGCTGCATGGATAATTCTTGGCAGCATGGCTCAGGTTCAGGGTTGTAGGATAATTAGGTCCCAAAAATAAGAGGGACACTCCACATTTTAACTTCTTCCCATTTCATCTTATTTTGCATAAATCACAACCTGCAGCCAGACCTGTCCTTTAACACTCAGCCACCAGCTAGATGGCAAAACTTTCATTAAAGCTATGAACCTCAGTCAAAAGGAAAGTGACCACTCTTTGGTAAGGGCAGATGTTGTGATGACCTGCGTAGCCCACTTCTGTCGCAAGTTAAAAGCAAAGCTTCCATTTCATCACAAAACCAGCAGAACGCCAACCCTGCCAAGGGTGAGCGCTCTCCGTGGGTTTTGGTCAAAGGTAGCTTAGTGAGTTCCCTGTTTTGCGGAAGCAGGCTCAAGATGGAAGAGATGCAAATTAAACCTGAACTGTCATTTTCATGCAGCAACATTATCATTCGAAACTATCTCTACGTTTTCCCCGCTATAATTGTTCTCGACTTAAAAATAAAACAAAAAAAATCAAGCAGGAAACGGTTTATTAGCCCCGTGGAAAAGTCCCAGGAACATAGTACCAAAACGCAAGATAAAAACATAGTTAACTATGACTTGGTAAAGAGAATTAAACTTCAGACGAAGTGGTATATGCGCCGCTTCGAGGATCAGCAGTGCGACCGTGCACTCGCAGCACCAGACACAGGCACACACAGACGTACGACAGGGAACAAGCCGCCGGGCGCTGCCACGGAGGAAGATGTCCTCCGGGGACACAGCAGACGCGACGGCCTCCCGCCGCCAGGCCGGCGAGGGCCACGGCTCCCGGCGCCCCCCCCCTCACCGCAGAGCGACCG